AAGGACTACTGACAGGAGGAGAACTAACGGATGGAGATGATGGTGACCCTGAACTCGAAAGCTCCTCGAGATGAAAGACCCTCCCTTTTTTACTCCCTCGCCCGATCTGCCTCCCCGTCTTCGTGTCCTGTATAACACACCCAGATGGACCAAACAAAATAGAGAGACCTTGTTCAGTGAGTTGACCCACGGAAATTAAATTAGGAACCAAATCCGGAACATGAAGCGTGTTAGGTAAATGCATTTGTGACGTGTGAACTGTCCCTACGCCATTAACCTTTAATTGCTGGCCGTTGGCCACATGTAAGGCCATATCATTAACCGAACACAAATTCCGAACTTGGCTTGCATCTTGCGTCATATGATTGAAACATGTTGAGTCAATGAGCCATGGTTTAGGTGTACCTGACATTTGAAGAGCTGCAAATGCGCTGCTAATGGCGCCGGGAAGTGAACGCTGAAGAGCAGCACTCACCAACTGCTGAACAACTGTAGCATTAATCGACGAGCTGGAGGTCTCCACTGCTGCAGGAGTTGCATACACCGGGCGATCAGAATTTTGATGCGGTCGATCTGTAGCTGAAGAGGAGCGAGAATCGTTTGAACGTGCAGCAGCTCGTTGGGCAGACTTGCAATCCAGCACAATATGACCTCGGTTCCTACAATAAATGCAAAAATTCTTACGCCGACAGTGCTTTTGAAGGTGTCCCTTCTCATGACAATGGTGACATTCCAAGTCCACAGCCGACACCCGACGTTGAAATTGCGGTCGTTGAACAGCATACGCAGAAGACGACAGCGGCTGGACCGATTGGACAGCAGCAGCGATCACCGATTCACCCTCCCCTGGCCGAATGTCCAGCTGGGCCTGGGTCCTAAGACGAATCTCCTCGCGGACGAGCAGACCGAGGATCCCTTCAATCTTCAAATCCTCGCGATTGAGCAGCGTCGATCGGACCGATTCAAACTCCGGGCGGAGTTTCATAAGGAATTGACAGAGTCGAGCATGCTGGCGTTCCTCCATGACCTCTGCGGATGCCTCCTTTCAGCGCAAAGACGCCGTTAACAGATCCTGCTCAATCCATAACTCCTGTGCATCACTGAAATAAGAGGCAACATCTTTGCTGCCTTGCTCCAAGCGGCCCAATTCCATTTGAAGTTCAAATTGCCGCGCCGTGTTGACGGTAGAGTACGTAGAGGCGAGATGCGCCCACATATCATGGGTTGTTGTGTGCAGCCGAAGGCCGAGGGCGATCGCTGGATCGACTTATCCAAGCAACCAGAAGCAGATCCTAGCATCATTTTTCCCCCAGGGTGTGATTTCTTGTTCCGTAGCCGGAGCTGCCGGCTTCGTAGTTGTTCTATTGAGAATACCCAGCAATTCATGACCTTCAACGAAGATGCGGAACTGAAATTCCCACAAAGCATAGTTCTTGTGGTTGAGCCGAACACAGAGCCTTTGAGAATCCATTGTCGTAAGCTCCGATACCATGTTAGGAAACCTATGAGCTGAAAGCTAAATGAACAAAGAGTTTACGTGGTTTCCAGTATTGCCGTGAGCAATACCGACTAGTCCACGGGAAATAGAGATCTCTTATTATTCAGCTTGAGCAGGAATGATAGGTACCGAGAGAATATATACAACTGAAACCCTAGATTATGCAACTCCAAAGTCTACGTCATGCATGAACATGGGCCCGAACACCAAGACTACTACGTATGGACAAATATACAAATGGGCCAAGCCCTATATAGTCTAACATAACTATCGGCATTAAACTTTTCCTCTCATAAGATGAAGATCATGATAAGATCGAAATCCGCAATAATAGATTTCAGTGGCTACAATGACTTTATATCTAATTATCCATCATTAATTATTCGATAAGGGATAATTAAATTATTATTAGACGAAGGCTGAAGTCGGGACAGGTTACGGTGATTACTACTTTGTAATAATCACCGTGGTTACTAAGGGTAAATTGGGTATAAAAAATAAATTATATTAATTAATTTTTTAATAAATTACATTTTAGGTAGTTACAAGAATCTATTAATTACAATTCTCTCTCTTTCTCTCACTTCCATAATATCCAGCCAGATCATCTTTCCTTATTTTTCTCAATCTTTCTGCAAAAGAAAAAAAAAACACGAAATCACTACCAATCCATTAGACAACCACTATCATTTTGAAAAATATCAATACCATTGCAGAAATAAATCTATACCATTACACGAAAACTACCAATATAAATCTATACAATTTCACAAAAAATCAATACCATTGCAGATTTAATCAATACCAGTACATGCAAATTACTACCAATGCAGTAAAACAATACCAATACGAAAAAAACTACCACTACGAAGAAATCACTACCAATGCGGAAAAAACAGATCTAACATTTTTATTCATCCCCTTTTTCAGCCACTACCGTCCACCATAGTCGTCTAAGAAAGAAGGGGGGAGAGAGAGAAGGGGGTTGGGGTGAGGGGAGAAGGACAGGTTGTGGTGGGTGTGGAGGGAAGGAGATGGGGAATGGGGAATGGGGTGGAGAGGTGGAGTGGGGTGGCCGGTGTAGAAGGGAGGAAGGGAAGGGAGGGGTGGAGGTTTTGGGCAGGGAGGCGGTGATAGGGGAGAGGGAGGGTGAGTGACGGCCGGCGGGGAGGGGAGGGCAGGAGGGTTGAGGCCAGACGGCTGGCTGGAGCTGCGTGGGAGGATAGAGAGAGTGGAGGTAGGGTTGGAGAGGTAAGTTTTAAATATAGGTTATAATCTGGTGTGATAATATTTTAAAGTCCAAACTACCCTTGATCTAATCTTGACCATTATTTTAAAAAAGAGAAAAATAGAGTCAATGAAGGGTTTAGATGTATGTTGCCACCATGGTTACTAAAAAACTAGTAACTACCCTAACGCGTTCCAGCTGAAGCCCAGACGGGTCTCGAATATATCAATACATGTAAATATAAGCATAATTAGTAAACTACAGAACACGCTTTTAATTTTTATACATATTCATTACGCGCGAGCCATTAAATTAGCGGGAAAACGAAATAGTTTGATAATAGTATGGAAAGAGAGAGTTTTTAAACTATGTTCATATATACCGATAGTTATAATGTATATGTAATATTAGTTATAATGCATCCAAAACCGAAAACACTTACGCTATGGGAAACTTGATTCATGTATATGGTGTCAAGTTTTGGCTCAGACAACTCTTCTTCTGTGCACGGTTGTTTGCCTGTGAATGTGATGGTGAAAGGGGAACACGGCCACATGGGATCCTGGCCGGGCAACAAAAGCTAGCAATGCTTGTCGTCCGATCCTCTTAAATAATCACTGTGGATAATAATAATAATAATAATAGTTATCTTTGTTCAAGAGCAACAGAGAGACAGCCTCACGTGTGTGTACTGTGGATCAACGAATCAATTCAGTTGCTTCAATTGTAATTGAATTCTTTGATCGACAACATATATAAAAGTACACTTGAATTCATTAATGAAACATGAACGATTTAACTTCGTGTCTCAGTCTAATCTTCGGGGAATGGTCTTTGAGGAGTTTGTTGGTCACAAAGGACATTATGGTATTAGTCCATGGAGTGATTCATGATATGTAAAAAAAATCTCCTCATTGTTCTCTATTCAAAATAACACGATGAGCTTTGTTGTGGTTGCTTGACCAGTGTATTTATGACATGCTAACTAGTGATGGCAATTTCAACCCGTCCCGCGTGTATTACCCGACCTGACACGCGATGGGGCGGGTATTACCCGATCCCCAGTAGTGTGGGGTGGAGCATGGGTATCTACTTCCGAACCGCCCTGTCCCGCCCCGTTCTAGACTCATTTTATCTCAATTTCTTACAATATCTATACATATTTCTCATATTTTGACTTTTCTTCAACTAGTTAGAATCAATCTTTCAACTTGTTAGTCTCAATTATCCATTCTATTATCAGTATTTTTCATTCTTAAAGTGTTTTTCCCTACGTTTTATTGTAAAAAGTAAAATTTACTTGTATTTTTTTGAACAACATGTAAGAGTGGGTCGACCCGTCCCGCCCCGTACCCGCGGGTTTTACCCGCCCCGCCCCGTAGTAGCGTGGGGCGGAGCATGGGAATTGAGGTACCCGCCCCACCCCATTGCCATCACTAATGCTCACAATACAAGCTATTCATGCAAATCTCACATTGACAAGGAGAGAAATCTTAACCGATAAGATGCATTTTGAGATGAAATTGATGAGTTTTTGTAAGAACTCTAAAGTTAAACATACTCAATATGAAATAAAGCACATATGATCAGTCACCTCCTGAAAAATCACCAACATGATACACCTAAAAGCAAAACCGTGAATGGTCGAATTCAATTTGGTCACCGAGCCGTGCTAGTGATCACACATTCACTGCAAATTTATTACCAGCTAAAATTTTGCAAACTTCACCTAATGAACATGGCTTTTTGGCTAGAACTTGGAAGCTAACTTAAGTAAAGCTTAACTAATTAAGTTCCAGAATAATCGCAATCAACTTAAAAATGAGACGGATTAAGGGGAGGGTGAGTTGAACAGACAGACTTTGCGTAGGGAATTGGTTCCGAGTTTTATAAGGACGGCTCCATCCACGTGCATGGGACTTTGGGACAGGTTCAGAGATAACTATCTGACGTGTTTTATATTGTCAGACTTCACGGCGAGTGTTGCCGGCAAAGGCCACGTGTCGGTCGGCCGTTAATTGGACGGCTGGGCCGGAATTCTAGGCGCAGGATTCTCCGGCAGTTTGATGAGATAAAGTTAAATAAGTCAACCTAAGAGTAATAATTCCTTAAAGTAGTTATTGACGTGTTTTTGGGTATGGACCTGACGGGTTAAAAGCCCATTCAAAATGTAATTTCCCCTAAACGACTACGAGACAAATGGAGTGGGCAGGCCAACACTCATCGGCCCATTGAGCGATAGATCCACACCTGTAATAAGCCCATAAAATTTACTGGAATTACTGAATTTTATTTGTAATAGAGCTCCTGCTAAAACAAATGGCAATGCTACGGTGTCGCTGTTAAAAGTGCAGCACCGATGCAACCAAATTCTATTGGGCCATGTTGGCATTACCAAGCTGATGTGGCGTTAATTGAACTGGGTAAAACCCAGCCCAAAATCTGTCGCCAACCCATCAAGACAGTGGCGGAGCCAGGAAATTGGCCAATGGGGTGTCTTTATCATATCATAAAAAATCACCTATACAATAGAAAAGTCAACTTTAAATTAAACAAAAAGTCAACAACGCAATACTCTAAATTCACACAATTACATTAAAATAGTTTCACGTACACCGGTTACAACGTCAAACAAATAAGTTCAGTACATATAAATCAAGACTTCCATTCATCAAGATATAACCAACTAATATTGGGCCCGACCCATTGGCCGGTGGAGTATAAAATGCTTTTGACAGTCTTGCGAAAGAAAATTGGAATTCAAACCATAATTATTTGTAACAAATCGAGAGCAAACCATTAAATAAGACTCAAACCAAATATGATCCTGAAACCAATTTGACTCAGCAAGAACAAACATGTCATCATATTCTACGAAACAATTTCAAATTCACCTTCATATTTGCCTTCAGCTCCTTAAATCTTGATTAAATCTAAGTTATGGGTTTTATTAGTTCAGGTAGTAATGAAGCTCCATCTGCCAGTGCGATTCTGGGAGGCACGGTACTCGTTAACCAATAAGATCAATAAGATGTTGTTGGGGTTGAATAATTTATAACTAATACCAGATATGCAGAGAAAGCACACAAATGGATATGGTGCTTAAACCAACTAAATTAATTCTCTTATAGTGGGAACATCAAATCTTATTGTGCCTAGCAACAGTTGAGCCCTTTAAGAAACAAAAAGGGTACACATGTATCCAGTGGCGGAGCCACGATTTGAAACTACCCCTGTCCTCTTTTCAAAATATAAATATAAGTAATAAATAAAATTAATAATATCCAAATAATCCAGTCATAGATAAAGAAATTACCTACTAATATAATCATTGTTTTCACAAACAACCACGACGGGTTTTCATATTCTGAAAGAAATGCAAAATACATTCGTTGTCTACATGCGTAAGTAAGTCTCTTTCAATGTATATTGCTAAACAATCATTAGCAAACTGATCTCCAATTCGACTTCGAAGCTTGTTCTTGATATAGCTTAAAGCTGAAAAATGCTCTTTCTACACTTGCAGTTGCAACTGGAAGAGTCAAAACTAGCTTCGGAAGCAAATAAACAGACAGATATGACTGATGCACTTTTGTCTCCACCATTACTCGAGAAAGTTCATTAATTTCTTTTAATCTAGCAAATCTCTCATTAGCCATAACATCACGATGATACCCAATAAACTGTTGTCGAATAATAGTATCATGGATGGAACCAAACTCAGCAGGATAAAATCTAGTAAGACACATTAGTTTCTCCATATCAAAAGCAGCGAATTCAGACTCCGGGCTAAAACAAGTCATGCAAGTCAACAATCTGGTATTCACCTCATCAAAGCGATTATTCAACTTTTGCAGCTGCATATCCACAACCGTGTAAAACAGTTCAACTTGAAAGTGATGTAGGTTTGTGATATCCGGAGCTTTGCGCCTTGACCGTCCTGGAAGAACATACACATCATGAATAATAGGAAAGTGAATAGAATCTTTAGTGCAGCTTGAAACTACATCATCAAGCAAAGACTCCCATCCATTGTCTCTCATCTCTTGTAATCTGGTCTTTGATACACGAACAAGTTTCATGGCATTTACAATGTCTTGATCTTTCCTTTGCAATGCTAGTGATAGCTCATTCATTATCGCTAACACTTCAATCATCAACTTCAAAATGAAGAAAAAGTTAAAATCTTGAAGTGTAATCGACATACGCTATGCATCAATAGTTGTATCTGTCTCAGAAGTAGGGTCATTCTGAATTGTATCCAACACATCAATAATAGCAGAGAACATGATATCCAAATTGATAAGCGCCCCATAGTAAGAACCCCAACGAGTATCACCTGGTCTTTTAAGAGCCATTTCTTGATTCAATCCTCTTCCAGTCTCTCGTTCATTAGCAGCTACAGCCTCAGCAATCTTCTCAACTTGAGCATCCCGAATAAACTCAGATCGTTTGCAAGATGCTCCAATAAGATTCATCACACTATTGACAGTCTTGAAAAAATCACCAACTTCAAGATGATTCTTAGCGACAACAACAAGAGCCAACTGAAGCCGATGTGCAAAACAATGAATGTAATAAGCAGAAGAATTTTCAGCTAAGATCAAACTCTTCAACCCATTGATTTGTCCTTTCATGTTGCTAGCTCCATCGTAGCCTTGTCCCCTTATTCTTGACATACTCAATCCATGTTTTGAAAGCATAGTTTCAATTTCACCCGTGTCAAGGCTTTAGTATTTGCCACATGAGTAGTACCAAGAAACCTCTCCATAACCAAACCCTGATCATTCACATAGCGTAAAACAATGGCCATTTGTTCCTTGGTTGAAGCATCACGAGTCTCATCAACTAATATGCAAAAGAAGTTATCTCCTAGATCTTGAATGATTTTCTTGGTTGTTTCAGAAGCCATTGCATGAACAAGATCTTTCTGGATATCTGGGGAGGTCAATTGGAGATTTTTTGGAGCATTTCTCAAAACAACTCTTTCTACTTCTCTACCACAAGCATGAAACTCCAATAGCTCAAGAAAGTTACCTTTGTTGCTTGAAGATGATGATTCATTGTGCCCACGAAAAGCTAATCCACCGCGCATAAGAAACTTTAAGCACTCAAGTGAAGCCATCAATCGAGTTCGCTAATCTGTTTTGGTTTGATCTAATTGTTTAGATAAACTAGCTGCAATACCTCATGATTGCTTCAACAAAAGGTCTGCATTGCCTTTAGCTTTGTTATGGAAGCTGTTATGCCTGCCCACATGATCAGCAAAACACTTCTTTCTATTCCACCCTCTGAAACCTTCACCAACAAAACCATCCTATGCTCCACTTTTCTTACTAAACAAATAACAGTAGAGACAAAATGTTGCATCTTTCTCAATACTGTATTCAAGCCAATTGTACTCTAGAAACCAAGATGAACAGAATCTGCGTTTCTTCCCACTAAAGTCACTATATGGAAAACGATGACCTTTAGGTTGGCACAGACCATTTTCAAGATAAAACCTTCTAACTTCATCTTGCACATCAGGATGAAAACTAGAAACTTTATCTCTTAATCCCAGATCCATTTTCAATGAATTCAAATCAAACCGGCTTTCTTCATATTCAAAGGAAGACTCACTTTCACTTTTGAGATGAAGACTTACTTTGTTGTGAAGTTTGATTTATCGAAACCGATACATTTGATTGTCGAATCTTGGAAGGAACCACCGCCGTTGAAGGAGGAAAAGTTTGGGCTTGTCTACTTCCACTTCCTTCCAAATCTTGGGCTGTAGTAATTGGGGAAGTCTTGTTCTTCTTTGGAAAGTAATACCTCTCCATTTGAAAGATCTAATTTGCCAAGATAAGTACACAATAAGCAACACAATTTCAGTTCTATTTACATATCAACAAACACAACTATCATGAGTTACATCGGTGAACAACACAATATAATGTCAGGTTTCAATTTCACAGCTTACCTAGAACAAAAAGGTGAAATAGAATGGAAGGATTGCCACCCAATGCCGGCTGCCGCTTGCCTGTGGACAATGACTTTTGCAGCTACCGCAAGGAGGTGATAAGGAGAACGTAGGCAAAGGCCTAAGGGGAAAGCAAGGAAAAAAGATGAAATGGTTGGGGTTGCCGGGTTGGATTGGTGGTGGTCGCCTGATCGGAGGAAAATCCCCTTTTCCCCTGCCGCTGGATGCCCGTCGAACTGTTGCTGTCGTCTGTCTTCTGCTGTGAATACGAAGAGGGCTGAGGAGTAAAGGGATTGGATTAGGTTTTTGTTTAATTGGGATTTCGTTTAAGAACATCATATATTTATAATGTTTCCACTTATAATCAAATGATCGGATGTAGTGTAGCGGTAAGGCTACGCTGTGTGAGTTGAAGGTACTGGGTTCCATACTTGGGTGGATTATATGGGGGGTATTTTTTTTGCAAGTAAAAAAATGACCCCTGTCCTGTGACAGGGGCAAATGTGGCTGCCTCCGCCTCTGCATGTATCTAGAAATAGTTAAAAGCAGAACCAAAGTATAACTAATTTACTTCTAAAGATATTGCATCAGCTAGACTCAACAAAATGGCCAAAGATCACTGTAGAAATTATATTGCAGCAGGCTAGGACCCCAGCAAATAGCTCATGGCCTAATGGAAATAAATAACACCCACAGTTAATGGTAGTAAATACACCAAACCAATTGAAAGTGAAAGTCAGGAATTGCAGAGGAAGTTGGGTTATTAACATTATCAGAATCTCACAGTTATAGTGCTTGTTTGGCCCTGTTGAGCTTCTGGTTGGAGCTTTTAGAGAAGCAGTTTTCAAAAAAAGCAGTTGAGTGTTTGGTTGAAAACTATTAAAAGTGCTTTTTAATATGAGAGGTCGTGTAAAATGACTATAATGGACTTATAATATAAACTATGAATAAATATTCTAAAAGAAAAAAAGTAGTCAAAATGGATCTTGTTAGATTCCTTTTATATTAAATAATATTATTTTACAATTTATTTTATTTTTAAAATGTTATAAATGAAAGAAAATTATATTTTCTGAAATAAAATTAAAATATGATAGGATAATCTTGTATTTTCAAAACAACTTTTCGCAGAAGCTCCAAATCGGAGCTTCTAGTTTTATATTATACAAAAGCGCTTTTCGGCTTTTCAAAAGCCGAGCTTTTAGAGGTGTTTGGCCCTGCTTCAGCTTTTGAAGCTGAAAAACACTTCTTAAAGTCGGGCCAAACATAGGGATAATGAATTCCTTACTGAAACTATGGTCCTGCAATTTCCCTTATGTGGCAGCTGGCAACGGGGATCAATGACTTTTTAATTGACATATGGAACATTTAGAGGTGAACATGTTTGTTAACATTTGACGATTCTCCACACTTTGAATACATATTCATATCTTAGCATTCAAAATTGGGTTGACATGAACAAATCAGCTCGTGGAATGGTAGTAAAAGAAAACCAAACATCCAATTCATATATGCTTTGAAAGCCACATTTAACACACCGGTGACGAAGCCCAACAAAGCTCACTTGAAAAACAGGTCAATTGTTTAAGTATAATGTTTAAGCAAACCCAACAAAACTTACTTAAAAAACAAGTCAAATGTTTGAGGAATACAACACCATTCTATCTTATAAACCATTCTGCTCAAAATCATCAATCTATTCATGATCTCTAAGTTTCTAGAACCATACACCGGCTACATCCTTCTACTCATCAACCAACACCATCATGTTGCCTGTCGAAATTGTAAACACCCAGATGTCAGTTGCAAACTCAACTTATGGAACAACCCTAGTTGCAGCATGCTTTATGTCAACAGTGTATAGTAGTATGTTGGTAGTCGATGGCATTTCAAAAAAGATGCTAATTTGACCATAGCAGCTAGTATCAGGCAATTGAAAGTTAAATATAGCTTTGAAAAGAAAAATTCCAAAGGTAAGAAAGAACTACATATCTTACAAACCATTCTACTGAAACCAAGAATCTACTCATGATCTCAAGAATTATAAGATCAAAAGCATGAACTAGTATAAGCATCAACATCGTGGTTATCTCCATCCTATTGACAACAGGGTAGTTACTTATTATGACCCCAAAGTCATTTCTAATCTATTTATTTGTTGTTTATGCTTGTTGTGTCTTGTTTCTCTTATTTTTGGTTGGTGCAGTGTTTTGTGTTGCTTCTCTCTATTACCAATAAAATCAGGTTTCTTTTATATGAAAAGAAGTCATTCTGCAGCAAACTGAAAGTTCTAATTGCATTATTAATTATGACAAACATATAATATATATACCTTAGTCTGTAAAACTTTGTTGCTTTCTTACCTATACTACTTTCTTCAAAGTGTCTGTTGAGGGGGTTTCCATTCTATCCTCACGCAGTAGGCTGTTCCTGTAGCTAGATTCTATGATTTTGTACCAGTATAGCTCTTGCTTGCACACTTGTCTCCCTTCCTTCTCAATCTTTTCTTTTCTTTTGTTTCCCTTTAGTTCACTTTCCATCAAAAGAATATAAATAAGTAAAAAATAGTTAAAATGTGTTAGAAAGAACTACCCATCATAGAAATCATTCTACCGAGGAAGAATAAGCTAATCACAGAGGTATCAAGCCATCAAGGTATATAACAAAACGAAACATAAAACCACGAAGTAAAAGTTGAGGCATAACTTAATAACCACAGGGAAGCAATAAGCCTACAGGTTGCAACTAATAGTTGCAGGAGTTTCCAATTGTTGTTGTCCAAAAGTGATACACAGACTACCTGCTGTCAAGAACAAAATCGTTTGATGCGTAGCAGTTACCAATTGGATCGAACGCCCATTGGAAAAGGTAAAATAAATGGAAGAAAAGGAGCACTGAAATCCCATTAACAGATTCCGAGAAGCCTAAATACACAAAACCAAACTAAGGGAACTTAAATGAACATGGAATATTACTCCGATAAGGCGATATGCGAGGTTTCTCGACTTTGAGCAGCGAGAGGGAGAGAGGCAGGTTACCGAGATGGATTGTGAATTCTTTGCCACTGGAAAGGGAGTCCGAAGTGGGATGGACGAGACTTCGATTCCGGTGAGACAAACAGCGAGAGAGGCGGGTTACCTACGACGACTTGGGAATACTTCGCCCCTGGAGAGAGAGCACAGACAGGGACGGATGGCAAGAGCGACAAATCGGCAGCAGGTGGGAGACACACAGACGCCGACAAAGCAGATCGGCAAAAAAACTCAAGGCCAGAGTATGAAATACAGAGATGGCGGCGTTGGGAGAATGATCAGACTTCAATTGAGTGAGGGTCTTCGATTATTGTGTTGGACAACGATTGAGGACTTCGATTTTCGGTGGGGCTTGGAATACAGAAGGGATTGAGACGGCAAGAGAGAGAGAGGGGTCGATTTCTTGTGAGAAATTGGAAGACAGAATGCGTGAATGAGAGGGTTGGGGAAATTACGGGAAAGGGCCTCCGAATTGTGCGGCGGTTGCAGCAATAGCTGACGTGGCAATGGCTGTATTTTGACATTGGCTTATAGTAATCTGTAGACGAACCAGGGAAGTTGTTAATTTCTCTTTTCTTTTATATTTTTTTCTCTTTCTCAATAAATACTTTATTATATTTTACGATTCTTCAACCGCGACTCTTGTGGCCGTGATTGCGCCGACGCTGGCCCTACTGCTGCTTTGTCGAAAACGGAGAGTCTTGCTGTGACTCCTGAGGCTTAATTTTCGGCCGATTCAGCGACGTTGGCGGCGACTTCTATAATTTTTCGGTATCTACTCGCTCTCCACTAGGGATGGCAATCAAATCCATGCCCGCGGGTATCCGCCCACCTCCGACCCAGTCAACGCGGGGAATCCCCGCATTGACCGGGTATGGGGCGGGTATGGGTAAAACCCGCAATGAACTTGATGAGTATGATGCGGATATGGTTTTAGCATCCCCCGCTCCATACCCATACCCAAACCCGCCACATCAAGGTATTTTGCTACACGTAAAAAGCTATAAATAAATTTTTATAAATTATTATTAGCATGAAGGTAATTAAATAAGAAAACATGATTAAAATGTAATTATATTTATCAAAAGTCTTGAAATTTTCAACCCTCTCAGCGGGTTACAGTTTACTTTCTCAATTTCTCAATGTCGCCGCCTTTCTTCTCCCGAATCCTGAAACATCTTGGAGACGACCACCTTACCAAAATTGTTGATGAGATAGTAATAGGTTTTGTCTAGTTGACAAGTTTATGCTAACTATTTACTATATAAATGTGTTGGATTCGAAGATGAATGATTTTATATAGTATTATATTTTCTTTTCATTTTATTGATTAATCAATATTTAGGATTGAATGTTTTTTCCTATTAAGAAATACTATAACGATATTAATTTTCGCTATTTATTATGTATGTTTTGTGTTATAATTGAAGTCATACATATTGAACTTTAGATATAATAATATTGCTTTTACGGGCAGCGGCGGATCCAGTTAACAATAGCGCACTGGGCCGCATTTCATTAGAAATTAGATATCGTAAAAAGGATAATGATTTTATATTTTTTTTACAATGTCAATTGTTCACGATGGTGTTTTAATTTAGCGAATGCATCAATAATGGAGTCTACATCCATACCAATAGTATGCTCCGTTTCAAATAAAATACTTGAGCAACCGGCGAGTAATTCATCGCTCATTTTGTTGCGCTAATCAGTTTTCACATGTTTCATTGTTGGTAAGGTTATCGCCGTAGTAGCTGTGGAAACGGACAGCGTCAACACTAAAATCAATCGACTAATCAATTTTCATTATGTGTCCATCTCTATATCCAACAGCTGCTCTAGTAAATTTTCAATGGAATAAATCTCATATTTCTTTTATTAGTCTTTTACGCTTTAGACTTTTAGAATTTTAGGTTCCGTTGTTTTTGTTTAGACGAAAATCTTTGGGGCTAGAATTTATAAACTAAATTTAGAGTAGTTATTTGAATATGTTCATACGAATTATTTTTCTAATTATACACAATCTTATTATAAAATAACATTGAACCGAATGTCTAAAATCGAAATATTCATAAGGACTATACTAACTTTGAATCCAGAGGAGGGCTGGGCCGGGGCCTGGGTTGCCACCCCTGGATCCGCCAATGTTTACGGGTCGGGTATTACCCATAGGTATCCGAAACCCATGAGTATGGGGATGGGTTTGCAAAATCTCACTCCGCATGGGTATGGAGCGGATATGAGTTTGAGTATTTGGTAATGGAGATGGGGATAATTTAG